GGCACTAAGAGAACGAAATGATCGAGAGATGTGCAGTAGCGCGCCTCTTAAAACATCACTACCTAACTGCGGTTGCAGGGGGGAAAGACCTGTTAGTAATGGGGTCTAACTGACCCATTGCCACTATCAAGTCGAAAGGTCCCCCTTGAAACCATCGTGGTTTATTCTAGTGGAATTCGACACAAGCTAACTGACCTGCTTTCATCGTCACCTATCATCACTCAATGGTGCTCCGCCAGTGTATACCAGGTGGGGTTACCATTCCAATATCATCCGTTAAAAAAATTGTGTTCTAGATATATTAGATTGTAGTCGCTGATTTCTTCAGTAGATTTGTTACTCGTTTCAGATGTAATTTACAGAACGTGTTCATTAGATCACATAATAGCCATCTACGAGGTTTGTCCGGAAAGTACGTATAAAAGTTTTTTAAAAATTTTATTTTACAATTATTCAGGTAAATCAATTTTATCCCCTTCAAAGTACTCCCCCTGTGACATAATGCACTTGTGCCAACGCCGTTTCCACTGTGAGAAGGCTCCTTGAAAGTCCTCTGGTTGTAGGTTTCTCAGCTGCCCCGTCGTAGCTTTTTTTATCTCATTTATGTCCCCCAAATGCCGCCCCCGAAGTACCAATTTGGTTTTTGGGAACAAGAAGAAGTCACACGGGGCCAAATCCGGCGAATAGGGGGGGTGTTCGGTCACCGTAATGGAATTTTTACTCAAAAACTCACGGAACGATCTTGGCGCAAATTTTTTTCATTTGAAGTTCGTTTCTTAGAATTTCGTGGACCACGGTTTTGCCCAAATTAAGCTCTTCAGCCACCTGTCTGACCATTAAACGACGGTCCCCATTAACACAAGTTCGAATTCTTTCCACGTCGTCTTTTCACGTCGTCGGAATGTGAAGTGGAAGGACGTCCTGAACGTGGGTCATCTTGAACGCTTTCTCGGCCCTCTCTGAATCTTTTTAGCCACTTGTGGACGGTTGGTTCCTTCACAGCATCATCCCCATAAACTGTTCTGAGATCGGCAAAAATTTCACGGCCATTCTTGCCGAGTTTCGAGAGAAACTTGATTACGACGCGCTGCTCTTCAACGGAAGCGGGCTTGCCGACGGGGTTTCGTTAAGAGGTAACTTCACAGATGGCGTGACAAGCCAGTTCGCACCGCACGGCGGTCAGACCAGAACTGAAGCATTGTTAGGGACATAAGGAAGGGGTCCTGCGCTTACCTGGCCTCCCCACTCCTCTTTCTCGCATTCCAGAACACTTTTATACGAACTTTCCGGACAGACCTCGTACTATATCTGCCCACTCGACAAAGCTAGGCGCTAATTTTTTTATTGATTAACGATTCCGTGATTGACGCACACGCGCCTGGGTTTTACGCATATGCAAATTGATCCCTCTGATGCTCGCCTAAAGATTGACACGCGATGACCAAGTGCTCAGATTATGTTTATACTGCTCTAACGCGCTTGACACACGCGTCGTGCCGTTGTTTTCAAAGACTCTTCGACTGGTTTCTTCGAAAGGCATCTCGCGGATTAACCAACCTGATCGCAGCAGCCGAAATATTGAGCAATCGGCCGAATCGAAACTAATTTAGTGAAAACATTCCGAAAAAAATTTTTTTTTATACAACTTAGAATGGCAAACAAGCTGACGGCCCACCTGATGGAAAGTGGTAACCGTCGCCTATAGACATGAGCAGTACCATGGACATAACAGAGTATTCTGTTTCGCCCATGATACTACCCATGCGTTGCCATTCCTGAGGACTCAGGTGTTATTCCTCTGTACCCTGTAAATTCACGCCATATTCCACCCTTCAAACCGAAACACAGCCATGCAAACATAACTGCTTCACGGTAGAAACACAAATGGGACAGAGGTACCCAAGCAATCGACTTTGTACAAAGTCTCCCTCTGGTAAATATGTTTGGTTGCTACGACAATTGTGCGGCGACTTAATGCAGACACAATATACATAGTGCACTTAGCCTTGTCTCGCCCTAGCTGCACGCAGCCGAGATATATTATTTAATTACGTAGTTTATTTTGACCGTATTTGAGTTCTTTTTGCAATAGATAGGGTTCACTCGCGTATACAAACACAGACCTGCAGAATTCACTTCTAGTCATATATTCCGCTTTCGAAATTCAGATATTTTTTTTGTTATGTGTCTACGAAACATCTCGTCGTTCATCAGTACGTGGGTGGTCACGATTGAACTTGTCTTATCTGAAATATGAAGGCAGTAATGTTTTTCAAAATATATGTGTATGTTTGGTTCTGCCTTCCTGCTTCCTGCTTCCTGCCGAAGATTTCCCAAAAGACTACAGCATGGGGTTCTTCAAAAGGGGGGTAAAGAGGTTTCTTCAGGGTCGGCTACGCGCGCGTAATACCTCTGGTATTACAGGTGTTCATAGGCTACGGTAACCACCTCCCATCAAGTGGGCGGTATGCTTGTTTTCCACCTCAGTGGCATAAAAAAAAATACGCTTTACGTAACGCAATCAGCTTGATAGATTAGATCCAGATAATCTTGAGATTTAGAAATAGATTAATCATTTTGGAAGCGCTATCTGGCTATATGAAAATAGCATAAAATAATGATGTTAAATTGTAAACATTTGTCAAAATTAATAAACATTAAAAATCGAATACCAACTTTTTTTTTTGAGATTTTGTTACATCCTCTCGTTTCGTACCACTTCCAATGAGCCACCAACGTAATTGGCATTGTATACCTGGCAGCTATTCATCAAAATGTCCTTAAAAATAAACCAGTTATGGCCATATCTCGTGAGTTGAACAATTACGGATTCGAGCGCACGATAAGGCCCACTCCGATAGCGTGACCGGCTTGTACATTAGCCTAATCTGACACTATCGTATCGCATCTGAATAATATACTGATAGTTATGGTCCCTCCCAGTCTGCTTAAAGCTCTTGTTACTATGTGCAGGGTAAAATCGAAATCCCTATCTTCGTTAAAGTGCTGTTATATGTTAATAATGGGGACTAGCAGTTCCATCATTGCCAGTAATATACTATGCCAGATAAACCTCCATGAGGTGATTGTTAGTAAAGCGGACTATCAATCCCATTGTACCAATATACCCTTTCGGGTCCGTATACCCCGTGGTCCCTCTGGGAACCATCGTGTTGAATTCCAGGTGTATTTATTACGATGGGCTAACTGATCTGCCTTTTTCATTCTCATCTATTATCCCTTACTGGTGCCTCACCAGCGTACACCGTTAGCGCAGACGGGGTTACTATTCCATTATCATTCATTAAAATAAACCTTCATGCGTTCCCCCTTGGAAACAATCGTGGGTTACATTTGAACGGATCAGTCATGATAGGCAATCTGCCCCGCTTTTATTCTCATTTATCTTACGTCACGGGTCACCAATGAGGGATGATAGCTGAGGATCAAATTATGGCAGCGTATATCGTTAGCACATAAAAAATGAAAATTTTTTCGATGGAAAGGGTCGAAAAGTGGCAAAAAATTTTGAGTCTCTCATACTAATCATACACACGTCCAGCTCTCTAGTTAGGGGAAGCGTTAGTTTTTTAGTTTTTTTAGGGCCTGATTAACTTATCTCGGAGGTACAGTACTTTTACTGCGATATCCCACCCATCCAATTAAAACAGCACGTAATGGAACACGCCATGTTTTAGAGCTATTTCTCAATCAATTATCTAATCTACTAATTCTATTTTATGTCATCGAAGATATTATATGTAATTTATGAAGTAATCTCGGGTGATATCGGAAATATTTACAAATTAAGTTGCACGATTTATAGATTATGAGATATATAATGCGACCATTTATATGAAATATCATTTATCTAAGGTTATACTGACGTCATGAGATGTAGAATGCTTATATACCAGGGCTTTGGTTAATAACCTAGTAGGTAATGTAATTCCAGCAAACACAGATAAAGTTAATAACGGAGCTAACGCGATTGAGGAAAACCCCAATTGTATACCCTAATAATGATATCATACATCATATAATCTCTTTCATGAAACAAACTCTTAAAACGTGATAGGAAAACCTTGGCTTACGCTTTTACAAGGATCGTAAACTATCCGAAAAGATAACTGTATTGTTTATTTGCTATTTATCGCGGCAAATAAATATTATTATAATATGTAATTCTAATGTATTTGCCAACGATAGCCGAAGACAACATTGATAAGACTTCAAACGATATTATGAGAAAATATTCAAGTGGTGACGGAGTTATTAAATGGATGATAATAGGAATGCCACGTGTTACGACTCTTTTTCGTCCTAAGCATGTCATAAGACGTGGCTAAGGGAATAAAACTGGTGTATGGTACACCGGTGCAAGACAAGGAAAACTGTGTTATAAACCCTGTTACCTGGCTAGTTTGTTTTTTATTGAAATGAAAATGGCATGGTAACTCCACGTGCACTATCGGAATACACTGGCGGAGCACCAGTGACACATGATAGGTGTGAATGAAATAAATAAGTTGGTCCATAGTAACGAATTTATGAAATATTAAAATAGTTTCCAGGGGGAAGCGTGGAGATTAGACTGTTAGACCTCATTATTAGGAATCTCATTTCCCCTACTAGTGCAGTATTAGTAGGCTATCCTATTATGGAAAGAGACTTGGTACCCAATACCCCCTACTGTTGGGGGGAATGGTTTTGTTAGTAATGGAGACTAAGAATCCCATTGCTAGCAATATACCCAACCAGGTCGACCTCCACGCGGTTCCCCCTGGAAACTCATGGTTAATTCCTAATGAATTCATCATTATGGACTACTATTGGCCTATTTTCATTCTCATTTATCACCCTTCACTGGTGCTCTGCCAGCGTATTCAGTTAGCGCAGGCGGGGTTACCATTCCATTTTCACCCATCAAAAAAAGAAACCCTACTATTAAATATAAAAATATTGTATATTAAATATAGTATTGTACGCTTGCCCAACAGTGTAGCGGCCATGGAGAAGGCGAAGGCTTACATAAAGAGCTCGCTGGGCGCGTCCAAGCCGGCGTCCCCGTCGCTAGAGAAGCCGCCCGCCGCCGCCCCGCCGGCGGACGACGCGCGCGTCTGCTTTGTGTGCGGCGGCGCCGGCTTCCCAGACCACTATACCGTACGAGTCAAGCCAGACGCCCAGGTACCGCGCTCATCTTTTGTATATTCATAACGTCCTAGTCTTCAAGAGTGGTAACATACGAAACCTCTATACTGTATAAAGCAAGACGCCCAGGTATGGTGTTCGTCTCTTGTATTATCATGACATCCTAGTACTCAGGAATAGCAGTGAATAAGACCACTATACTGTTCGAAATAGGTCGGATGTCCAACTACGGCGCTCATCTCTTGTATGATCATGACAACCTAGTCCGGGGACTAGGGGATCTTCATTATATCATCATATCAACCGTTAATTGTCCACTGCTGAGTCTTTCTAAAAAGGGAAGTTATGCCAGTAGTTGCCACCCTTGGCAGGCAGTTTGGCAACCGTAGTTAGGTGTTTAATGATGTTTCAATAGGGACGCTGTTGCCCATCCCTCCACAATAAGCTCCCTTAGTTGCCTCTTACGATACCCACGGCAAAAGAAGGGGTGCTCTATTTTTTTTACACGGCCATTTTATCCTTTCCTTTAAACATTTACTAGTATTTGGCCAGCTTGAACTAATAGTGCGGGCTAGTTGTCATTTCATTTTAATTGATTAAAAATCCGACTTCTCAGGAATAGTAACGTATGAAGAGACATCTGCGAGTCGCAATGTTTTCTCTAATAGCCTTGATCTGTTGTTAAATATAAAAATGTGAATGATATTCTATTAATTAGATTTTGTTCCGCATTAAGCGATTTTATTTGCGGCAACATTACTGTGTGACCAAAATATAAAAAATCTATTATTTGTAAAAAAAAAAGGAATATGAAAATCGGTTCAATGTTGGAGAAGATATCGCATAGACGTGTCGAGAGGCGAAAACAGGGAGGCCGTTTCGAAGTCATACAAAGAGGAGACATTTTGTACATGTGCAAAATAAAAATAACACAAACACGAAGCGTTCCTAATAAATCAACATAATATTTTCCGCGACTATTAAACCGAATCAATGCCTGGCCAAAACCACTGGTCGTAACCGGTTACCAATTGACGAAGTACGTAAAACGTTTGACTTGTGACACCAGACAATTTAGTCAAGTGGTCCCCTGTAATATTTAAATAGACACGTACGGTGTAGATGTATGAGCGTATTTTTTTTTATGCAATGTTTTTTTGGAATGGCAACAAAATGACAGTTTTTAATGGAATGTAAAAAGAATAAAGAAATGGTACCAGTGAGTATAAGTGGAAATGAAATTAGGTCAATTAGCCCATTATGACGAACTCTTTAGGAATTAATTACAATCCTATTTCTCCGGAATTAAGATCTCTACTCCATAATTTCATTAGTATTATGATTACCCTTTCGAAATACAGTTTCCTGGAGATAGAATCATAAAGAAATATTATATATGAAGAATATGACTAGTAAGGAAAAAAGAAGTTACTAGAATGTGTGATAAGCTGCGTAAGGTAAAGACAATAAAATATTTTACTATAATAATAAAATTAGGAAGTAAGGCTGTCTCGAAATATACACGAATAAAGATATTAATGATTGAAACTTGAACAAACGAATCAAATTTCCGAAACAGTATGTGTTTGTCTATCTATCTATCCTATTTAAGAGCTGCGCTCTTGTCGGTGGAGCTCTTGCTACTCACTACGATTTTCAGCGAGTCTCTTCACCTCTTGATACGATACGACACCAACTCCTTCCTTGATCTGCCTGATGCAACTATACCTCGGTCTCCCTTTTCCCCTCCTTCCTTCTATTATAATGTTCATAAGTTCGTCGTGTCGTATCAAGTGTCCCAACATTTTTCCTCTTTGTGTTTGTAAGAGTTCTAAATTCGTGTTATAATTTTTTGTAATTTGGAATATTTAACCTCAACCGTATTTATTATTTTATTGTTAAAATTTCGTAAATACATATAGTACTCTAATGTAATAATGTCAGGCTCGCGCTTGCCTCACATGCCGCCGCCGCTGCAGCTCATGATTAAGGTTCACGAATTGATCCCGAAACTAATCGAGCTTTCTTGATCTAATTGATTTAAGTTAAACTAGTAGCTATTACTTACTTATAATTCCTATCCCAAATCGACAATAACATGAAAATAATAAAAAAAAGAACAATATGTTATAATGAATACGAAATATGTTTGAATATTATTCAACCATTCAAATTTGAAAACCTTCCAGCGAGGGACGCGATGTCGCGGTGGCGCGCTCTCCAACAAATTTGTTTTCCTCACCAGTTGAATAATAGATGTTTGTATGGAAGTTGTCGGCCGTCACCTGAATATTTTGTCTGTATTGACGTTTCCACGTACGTAACCGTGGCGAGCGCGTGTTTGTTTGACTACAGACTGATATATTAGTATCCAGTTACCATCTGCAAAATGTATTTGTTTGTTCCGCTTTTGACGCAGTGATGCCTACATTTGTGCGGTTGACGCTTTATGATGTTTATTTGCTTTTTAATACAAAAATGTTAAATATTCATGGTTTTTTCGTGTCGTTCAAGTCACCGGCGTCTGTAGAGAGGGATTGCAAAAATTCATTTTGCAATTTTAATGGTATCCGCCTATGTTGATATGACGTATGCACATTTGTTATTCTTTGTTTCTGTGTGGTTTTTTCTTTTTAGTTTTTATTTATGTTAAGTTAATCTATATATACTATCAGCCTTTAACTGTCCATTGCTGAACATAAGCTTTCCCCTTGGGGGGTGTTGCCAGTTGTTGCCACGCTTGGCTGGCGGATTAGCTACCGCAGATAAGCTTTAGACATGTTTTAAGAGGTACGCGCGAAAGCGGCAGATGGGCAGTACCCATCTCTCGCCCTCCTTTAATCGCTTCTTACGACACCCACGGGAAAGGAAGGGTTGGCCTACTCTATGCCAGGACCACACGGCCAAAGTAATATTTTACTCGTTGATAATGTAGATTCTTATAGGTGACAGAATTGTCAAATCTATCCATTCAAACAAATAATCAACTCTATAATTTTAGTGTAGATTGAAATTGTTTTTATAAACTTGTTTTAAAAAAAAAATATGATTGAAGTTTTAAACTGTCTCTAGTATATATATTTTTTTACCTTCAAGGAACAGTAGAGTATGTGTAGCTATCTACTACAACAGAATGCCATTTGTCGTGGAAACAAAGCGTGAGAAAGATTGAATCGATTTAGCTGAATCTGCGGTAAAAAATCGATTAAGATCGATTATTATGCAAATTGTTAATGGGTTTGTGGATTCTATAATGAATGAACTGTTTAAAATAATACAAAGATATTAAACATAACAGTTCTTGTATGTGTTATGGTAGTGAATTTACAGGGTACAAAGGAATAACACCCGAGTCCTCAGGAATGGCAACGCATGGGGGGTATCATGGGCGAAACAGTATACTCTGTTATGTCCATAGTACTGCTCATGTCTATAGGCGACGGTTACCACTTTCCATCAGGTGGGCCGTCAGCTTGTTTGCCATTCTAAGTTGAAATATAATAATGTTAAAGATAAAAATAATGTTTTAGCTCTCAAACTTAATCCCTTATTCATAAAGATGTCAAACGTGTCATAAACGTATTTTAGGTATTACAGTGTTTTTCCTTTTTCTTTGTATTAATTTTCCAAAATGAAAAACTGTGAAAAACACTAATAATAAAATATATTTGGTAGGACGTTTTATTTTCTATGAATAAGGGGGTTAGTGAATAGTGAAGTTAAAGTTCTTTGTTTTTTATTGTGGAATTGTGAAAGATAAACTATTTTATTAGACACACTTTCAAAATCCCAGTATTTGGACTGTTTATCTAAATTATATAAAATTCTCGTGTCACGATGTTTGTTACCAAATTCCTCCGAAACGGCTTTACTGATTTTAATGAAATTTTGTGTGCATATTAGGTAGGTCTGCGAATCGGCCAACATCTATTTTTCATACCCCTCAATGATAGGGGTGACCCACCTCTAAACATTTTTTTTTTATTTTTTTGTCAAGTTTTTTATTTTTATTTTATTATGATTTAGCATTGAAAAATACATACAAATTCAAATTTTCACGCTTTTACGATCAACCCCTGTTATTTAATCGCAATTTTTATATGCTGCAATAGGGTTGCAAGATGACAATCGAATATATTAATTGTAGTACGATATATTTTCATGTATAGTTCTAGAAATAATGTATATGGTAAAACAACGTTTACCGAGTCAGTTAGTAATTTTATAAAAATGATGTTTATTTGGACAATAGTAATGGCCTATCGCGTTATAGACAAATAGAAACCAAACGTGTTATCTTCTACCATTTCATGTTGGTACATGTATCAAATTAGTTAATGTAATATAGGTGATTATAGAATACCACTGGGGTCATAACCCTGGAACTTTATTAGATCGGTACATAGTTGAAGTCTATCAATGTTCCATAATCCGTGGGAACCGAATTGTGACAATTCCCATAACAAGCAATAATTACTAAACGTCAAGGGACAATCCGTCGATATTTCCCATATAATTTTCTCATGGTTTGTTGTCGTACATGTTGTGAAAACTTAACGTCTCTGTGATATCTAATGGACTGAATAATTTCGTTGTTATCTATTATCATGCTGAGTTCCTTACAGGTAGGTAGGTAGAGAGTTTTATTTTTAACTTTGTAAGACTAGAAGAACCCTTGAAATTTTCACGTGTTTACAGACATAAGGGGAGTTTTTTTTTATGGATGAAAATGCAATGGTAACCACGCCTGCGCTAACAGGATACGCTGGCGGAGCACCAGTGAAGGGTGATCGATGAGAATGAAAACAGGCCAGTTAGCCCATCATGATGAACTCATCAGGAATTAACCATGATAGTTTCCAGGGGGAACTGTGAGGAGGTCGACCTGGTTGGGTATATTGCTAGCAATGGGATTCTCAGTCTCCATCCCTAACAATCCCTTTTCCCCCGACATAAGGGGAGTGGTCAATAGTTATAACGTTTAGCGGGCGGGTTGGCAATTGCACTTAGGCTTTTGGTGATGTTTTATGTGGAATGTTCCTGGCTATCCCTCGACTGTTAAATTCTCTTAGTCGCCTCTTACGACACCCACGGGAAAGGAAGAGGTGGCTCATTCTATGTCAGTATCACACTTATGGAGAAGAACATAGGCATACATTTTATTCCGATCACGCGGACTATGTCGCGGGTAAAAGCTATTAATGAAATAATAAATCTATTTAATACATACGTAATTTGAGAATCCTACTTTTGCAATTCGCTTACGGACGAATAAGTGTTTTAAAGCTTCCATTGTCCCCCAGAGCCTCGAGCCGTACTTCCCGTTCCTGGGTGCGCACGCGCCGCCAGCCGGTTACCGGCCCGAGGGCGACGAGGAGGGCACGGTGCGCTGTTGCTGCGTGTGCTACACCTTCCTGCGGCAGCAGTGGGAACAGTACGACAGGGAGAACAAGCCGCACAGCCAACGTTTCTATTGGATGAAGAGGCTCGACGGGAAACCGTTTATTGGTGAGTGGGCATGTACGATTTATATCCATTATGTGGGCAGTATGTGGTCCGAGTATTTTTAATTAATTTATTATTTTTGAGGGAAGATTACAGCTGTAATAAGTTAATAATTAAAATATATATATATATATATATATATATATATATATATATATATATATATATATATATATATATATATTAGCTTATTATAAGCTAATTAAAAGCTACCACATATAGTTAACGAAAATTGAATTGGTTACAGTCTAGATAATTAATAAGTGTGCAAACGTAAGCTAAACGTCGTTAAAATCACTGAATGAATAATTTGCCATGTTTTTTTTTCTTATAAAGCTGTTGTTACTATTAAATATACCTATTCCATTATGCCTACTACATACATAATTAAAAATAGAGGAAATTCGTGTTTTCTATTAATAATATAAATGTATTTGCAAAAAAAACGAAGTATTTTGAATATTTATCGGATGTCTAGTGGCTATAGTACATGCTTTGCTTAGTTTGAGACCAGAGCGCCTACTATGAAATGTTTTCCGAAATTTCGGAGTCGAACGAAACACAAATTTAATGTTAAAATTACATAATACGAGGTCTGTCCGGAAAGTTCGTATAAAAGTGTTCTGGAATGCGAGAAAGAGGAGTGGGGAGGCCAGGTAAGCGCAGGACCCCTTCCTTATGTCCCTAACAATGCTTCAGTTCTGGTCTGACCGCCGTGCGGTGCGAACTGGCTTGTCACGCCATCTGTGAAGTTACCTCTTAACGAAACCCCGTCGGCATGGAGCCCGCTTCCGTTGAAGAGCAGCGCGTCGTAATCAAGTTTCTCTCGAAACTCGGCAAGAATGGCCGTGAAATTTTTGCCGATCTCAGAACAGTTTATGGGGATGATGCTGTGAAGGAACCAACCGTCCACAAGTGGCTAAAAAGATTCAGAGAGGGCCGAGAAAGCGTTCAAGATGACCCACGTTCAGGACGTCCTTCCACTTCACATTCCGACGACGTGAAAAGACGACGTGGAAAGAATTCGAACTTGTGTTAATGGGGACCGTCGTTTAACGGTCAGACAGGTGGCTGAAGAGCTTAATTTGGGCAAAACCGTGGTCCACGAAATTCTAAGAAACGAACTTCAAATGAAAAAAAATTGCGCCAAGATCGTTCCGTGAGTTTTTGAGTAAAAATTCCATTACGGTGACCGAACACCCCCCTATTCGCCGGATTTGGCCCCGTGTGACTTCTTCTTGTTCCCAAAAACCAAATTGGTACTTCGGGGGCGGCATTTGGGGGACATAAATGAGATAAAAAAAGCTACGACGGGGCAGCTGAGAAACCTACAACCAGAGGACTTTCAAGGAGCCTTCTCACAGTGGAAACGGCGTTGGCACAAGTGCATTATGTCACAGGGGGAGTACTTTGAAGGGGATAAAATTGATTTACCTGAATAATTGTAAAATAAAATTTTTAAAAAACTTTTATACGTACTTTCCGGACAAACCTCGTACTTACCGTTTAAAAACATAAAAATATATGAAAGTATTATTCCTTGGGACTTTTATGGTAGGATTTATGACGAACGAAATATTAAGCTCCATTTACTGGCCCGATTTAGGTGTGAACAAAAACACGAAATTGAGTCCGAAATTTCGGAATTTCATTTCATGGTAGGCCCCCTGATGACGCTCTGTAATATGGCCGGTGGTATTTATTTATGTCATAGATTGTGTACAGGCTATTTTTATACATACATACATATCTGTCACGCCTGTCTCCCATTAGGGTAGGCAGAAACTTTATAGAATTTTTATATCAATGAAATATTCGAACATACAGTCTAACACACTTAGACAGAGGGTGCGCGATTTTTTTTAATGGATGGTAATGAAATGGTAACCCCGCCTGCGTTAACGGTATACGCTGGCGGGGCACTAGTGAACGATGATAGGTGACTATGAAAAGGCAGGTCAGTTAGCCTATCGTAATGAATTCACTTGGAACAGAACACGATAGCCTCCAGCAGGAACTGCGAGGAGGTCGACCTGACAGGGTGTAACAACAATGGGGCTACTAATACCCATTTTTAACAATCCATTATTCCTCCGAGAGTGCGTAGTCGACAAATCGACACAGCGCCCTCATAACCGCACGCTCCACTAGTCTGTAGTTCTATATTACATATCTGTTATACACTATATGTTTATATCTACAGTAGAATCTCCATTATCCGAATCGAATAAAACCAGGACTATTTCGTATAATCGAATATCTGTATAATCGATTCCAAGTCAAATGAAACAATACATAATTACATTTTTATATTTTTTACTAGCGGCCCGTCTCGGCTTCGCACGGGTGGACATTTTAAAATTTTAAAAAGTGGCCAATCAGGCTGCGCACGCAACGGAATTTTAAAAATGGAATAATTTCTCCCGTTTTCCCAACATTACCCTTCACTGCTCTGCTCCTATTGATCGTAGCGTGATAAAAACCTGCCCAGGAGTATGAAGAATAATTGTATTAAGTTTCGTTAAAATCCGTCGAGTAGTTTTTGTTTCTATAACGAACATATAGACAGACAGACAAAAATTTTACTGATTGCATTTTTGGCATCAGTGTCGATCACTAATCACCCCCTGATAGTTATTTTGGAAATATATTTTATGTACAGAGTTGACCTCTCTACAGATTTATTATAAGTATAGATAATGTAATAGGTTTTACATACGTTATTTAGACAATGTGATATAAAAAATTACGAGCTATAAAGATAATGGATTACATAATACCTATTTACGCATACATAATACCATTTCTAAATCATTAATTGGAGCCGCGCATAATCAGTCCGGATAATCAATGGGGGGTATCATGGGCGAAACAGTATACTCTGTTATGTCCATGGTACTGCTCATGTGTATAGGCGACGGTTACCACTTTCCATCAGCTGGGCCGTCAGCTTGTTTGCCATTCTAAGTTGTATAAAAAAAAAAAAACAAATATTGGAATAATAGATATTCTACTGTACTTTAAAAATCTACATATTGTGACAATATCGGATAACAAATGGACGTTGTCCAATATTTGACGTTTGTTCGCTGTGATTTATATTCACTCCCAATTCAGTTGCGTCAAAAATCAGCCTGCAGATCTTATATACTGCATTTGAAGTGCAGTCCGCATTGCGGCCAGTTTTATTCGTTATAACATCTTGCAAATATCGTCTAGACGTGGATTTGTCACGCGATAACGTACTCATGGTTGTATTTTTTACCACGCCCCGGACTTTTCACATGGTCAGACTGTAAGAACTATTTTTTTTATTGGTGATACATACATACATATCTGTCACGCCTGTCTCCCATTAGGGTAGGCAGAAACAATGTAACGCCAATTGCTTCGATTCAAACAAACCTCTTTCGCTTCTTCCACACTCCTCAATGTTTTCATACACGCTCGCCGGTTACGGGTTCTTTTAATTTGGCCCTTCTTCAGCACGTCGCCTATTTGGTCAACATACGTCCGTCTAGGGCGGTCCCTACCGACATCTCCATTCATTCTTGCTCGATAAATCTCTTTCGTAATTCTTCTTTCATCCATCCTCTCCAAATGACCAAACCAACGTATCATTCCTTTTTCGATTTTTGTCACTACATCGTCTTTCAGTCCACACTTCTCACTTTTATGGGTGATAATGAAATAGTAACCCCACCCGTGCTATCGGTATACACCGGCGAGACATCAGTAAAGGATGATAGATGAGGATGAAGCGGGTCAGTTAGCCCATTGTGATGAATTCAACAAGAATTTGTAAGAACTATGTTTTTATTTTAATGGCTGATAATGGAATGGTAACCCCGCCTGCGCTATCGGTATACACTGGCGGAGCACCAGTGAGAGATGAAACGTAAGGATGTAGTAGGCCAGTTAGCCCACCGTGATGAATACGTCTGGATTTCAGCACGATGTTTTCCAGGGGTAACCACGAGGAGGTCGACCTGACAGGGTATATTTACTAGCGATGGGGCTACTAATCCCCATTACTAACAATCCCTTCTCCCCCCCGTAAGAACTATGTTTCTCATTACTACATAAAGTTACATAAAGTGATGATTTCTGATCACTCTCAAATATGTATTAAGTACGATGCAAATTAGAGGAAAGGCTGTTGTTTGAAGAATAAGTATTTTTCACATCTATCGCTGTTGCGCTGTCCGGGTCTGGATGAAAGGGACAACTGCGGCTCACGTTGATAAAATACGTATGAAATTAGTAGAAATCGTCATTTCGTATTCTGCTGTTTTCTCTTCCAAAACTTGTCCAATTTTGATAATGTTTTTAACAATGATACAAGAAGGCCTTGCCTTGCCATACCATAGGGCATACCTATGTCTATAATTTCTTGTTTTAACCAACTGCAAAGAGAAGTTGCATCTCAATTCGGGTATATTTTTTTTTGTTAGTTGCCTCATAACTCCGTCAGTTGTAAACCAATTTGGAAAATTCGTTTTTATCTGAAGGGATATACTTATAGATTGGTCCTGTAATTAAAAATGGTACAGTAATTTAGTTTTTAAATCAAAATAACTGTTTTTGCTACAATTGAAGTCTCTTTTTTGTGGAACACAACTATAATTATATATTCATCGGCTTGTTCGATATATGTTTCATTCAGCCATAAAAGTGACCAATTTTATTATATTTGAATATTTATACCAGAGGGAGACTTTGTACAAAAGTCAAATGTTTGGGTACCTCTGTCCCATTCGTGTTTCAACCGTGAAGCAGTTGTGTTTGCATGGCTGTGTTTGGGTTTGAAGGGTGGGATATGGCAGTGAATTTACTGGGTACAGGGGAATAACATCTGAGTCCTCAGGAATGGCAACGCTTGGGAGGTATCATGGGCAAAACAATATACTCTGTTATGTTTATGGTACTGCTCATATGTCTATAGGCGACGGTTACCACTTTCCATCAGGTGGGCCGTCAGCTTGTTTGCCATTCTAAGTTGT